TGACTAATTCCCCGAACTTTTTGATCATAACTTGTATGATATGTAACGTTTTTTTTTTTCATTTAGAACAATGTTTAAAGTATGTCTTATCTATTAAATTATACAGACGAACCTTTTTGAATAATTCGATGCTCATGGCACAAAAAAAAATTCAATTATATAAAAATTCATTAAATAAAAAGGCATATATTGGATCAAAATATCATTTATTTTACCAATATTTCAGTTGGATGAACGCCAACCTTTATCAAGGTATTAATGTGTGCCGACAACAAACTCAGGTGAGAGGCAAGGTAATCGCGTGGTTGTTGAGAGAAAACAATTGCAGAAGTTGAGAAGTGTGCAAAGAAAAAGGGTGAAACAAAATTAAAATATAATGATATTTACAAAAGTGGGAAAATGGACAAACATTGATTAAAATTTGTAAACAAGTCCACTTTAGGTTTTAAAGATCGCTTGAAAAGATGTCGCTGTGGTAACATAGGGTGAGAAAAAAATGTGTGGGTATATAGGTTGACAAACGAATCAATGTGCAGCATTGCGACAAGACATTGATTTTAAGGGAGATAGTTGCGGGGTAGTATGGTACAATACGTGGAATACAAATAAAATAAGGTTGGGATAAGCTCTCTGTGATGTAAGGGAACTAGTTATCAGGACGTAGGTGGTGGGGGAGTTTTAAATAGACGTTGAACGGTTTCTCCTATCAAAATCCAGAATCCAGTAGTTGGAAAATGGCTTCTTGTAGTTGAAAAAGTCTATCAGTTTCTTGTGCGTATATTCCTATGTAGATAAGCGTGATTAGCGGGACGGCGGAGAAGGGCATTATTAGCGTGTAAATTAGGATAATTAAGTGGAAAATAAAAAATGTTTTCATATTGTATCCTATATTTTTATGAGAGAGATTAGTTGTGGGCTGAGCCATTTATGTTGGAGGGTTGAAGACTTGGCTTGGGACTGGGTTGGTTCATGATTGATTTGTAGCTGGGGAACTGGGGAAACATTGTTACTTGAGGTAGCAGAGGTTGGCTGCTGGATGGTTTGACCAGGAGTTTGTATTCATGGAACAAGTCCGGTGAGAGATGTTGGAACGGAAATAAGTCATTGTCTTTGGGTTGAACATAATGGGCTTGCATGGTGAGGGGTGCTATATGAGGGACGCTTTCTGTGTAGGGCCTAAGTTTGTTGACATGTATTGTGTCGTGTCCCTTATTGAGGGGTTGATTTGGTTTATTAATCTTTACCACATTGGGAGAAATAACTTCTAAAATTGTGTAGGGACCTGTGAAATAAGAGGTAAGCTTTCCAGTGTTAGGATGGTGGTACACTTTGACAAGAACGAGGTCTCCAATTTCAAAGTTAGGTGTTTTGTGATTAAGATCAAATTTTTGTTTATCTTTTTCGTGTTTCAATTGTGTGCGTTTGTATCGCTAAATTTACATTTTGGCAGAGACGTTTTTAGATATCAACACAGTAAATAAGCAATGGAGTTAAAAATGCAAATTTTTAAAATAATAACATTAAGTAATGAAGTTAAATGAGAAAAATATCAAAATATTAAAAGTTTTGGAATTTAAACACAAGATGGAAATGTGAAGCCATAATGTATTGCGGTCATATCGAAAATATAGGGGAAATATGATTTCTTAAAATGTTAAAGATAGTTTAATAAAATATTGAAGGTGTGATAAAATAGGTAAATTTATTTTGTTGTTGTCCTCTTGGCCGACTGTTTCACATATGGTGTTAGGAATTTATAGTTGTAAATGGTTAAACCTAATTGCAAATTTTCAAAAGTAAAATATGGAATGTGAGATATATTTTTAGGTACAAATTATGCAGAGAAAAATAATGTTTAAAAGGATTAAAGGTGTGGTGCAATTTAAAAATCAAAACAACTATGGCAAAATTGATATTTAAAATTATTTGAGAAAAAGGGATCTAACTAAGAAAATAGGCATTATATTTTGTATGCGAGAACTAAAATAGCAGGAAAGTGGGAGTATGGAAGACAGGTAGACAGATATAAAGTACCTTGGAAAGGATGATTCCGGCTTGAGTTGAAAACTTCGGGAGATTGCTGGCTTTGAGCGGAAGATGTGATGGCTGGAGATGGAAGGGAGAAGACATCAAAGGAGGTAAGATCCAGGTCTCGGGGATGAAGGGGTTGCAGTCCTTCTAGGATGGTTGCCAACTGAAGGATGATGGTGCCAAGATGGGGTGGTGGTGTTGTCGGTCCGTGGTCGTTGTTGGGGAACTCTCCGATCTCCTGCTCCTGGACTTCTTTTTGGTCCTTGTTCATCCAGTCGACTTTCTTCTTTGGCTGTGGTATTTCGGTGGTCTGGTCTATTGTATTGAGTCGTGGGGAAATATGATGATTGCACAGTCGTGATGGTGGTGAGTGGTAAAGCACACAGAGACGAATCACAGGGGAATCTGAGGCATCAGCGAGAGGGAACGCAGAGACCAAGTAGCGACCGGCGGGCCATCCACCCCGTGCACAAAGACTTACTAACTCTCTGTCTGCTGCTGCTGTCTGCTATCTTTCATCCACTGAACTGACTGACTTGGCTGAGAGAGAGAGAGAGAAAATAAGGATAACCCGGGCCCCTGGAGCGCAAGAAACGCCAACTGCCCGGTATGACTTGGCTGCGGGGCAAGCCCTTTTCATATGCTCAAGCGTTACGTCACCGGACGTCTGGCGCCGCATTGTCGAGACGGTTGACCTCATTGGCTGTGAGTAAGCCCTGTTACGTCATTGGACGTTTGGTGCCATAGTGTCGCGACGGTTGACTTCATGTTTGCGGGGTAAGCTCTGTTACGTCATCGGACGTCTGGCGCCGCGTTGACAGGGCGATTGGTTTCTACGTTCCCTCTAGGTGTACCTCTTTATTTAATTGAACACTCAAAAACGATACATACAAAGTTAAATTGATTAAAGGAGGATTGGGTACAATGATTAAAAGTCCATATTAGAGTAGGGAGTGTAAGAAGGGGTGGTGAGTATTTACACAGGTGTTTATAATTCTTAAATTAGCACATATATATATATTTTGCTTATATTCATTGGGGAGAAAAAAAAGGATATATAAAGTGTGTAAAATAAGAATGAGAATATTTTAAATATTAACAATAACATAAAAATATAATAAAAATTCATATTAAAAAGGTTTGAATAAAAGCTTAAAACAAATAAACTTTGCTTTTTCGATCAATTCCTTTATTAAGAATAACATTAGATATTGTAAATAGATTATTTATAAATAATAAGTAAAAAAATAACTACAATTTTTTCAATGATCCATGGCTTTATTATGTATAAATATGCATTTTTAAAACTACAAATATTTTCTCCCAATGATTTCTTTTCAATTTAAAATGCTAGCTTTCAAATGATAATCGCTCTTCAACGGTCTTAATAAAAACATCGACTGTATTTAACAAGAAATACTTATAATTATATCTATAAATTTAAAAGGCATATATTAGATCAATGATATTTTGATCCAATATATGCCTTTTTGTTAAACGACATTTGAAAATTATCCTGCATGTGTTTCTTTTAAACGAAAAATCGAAATTTATTTTAAGGAGAAATAACGATTTTTTCTAACCTTAGGGATGAAGTATGAAAGGATGAATTGTGAAGGGTAATGATAAACGGAAAAATAAACCCATCCCTGGACACTTTTATTTTTCCGTTTATCATTAGTCTTCACAATTCATTTTTTCTTACTTCATCCCTAAGGTTAGAAATAATGTTTATTTCTCCTTTAAAATAAATTTCTATTTTTCGTTTAAAAGAAACACATGCGGGATAATTTTTAAATGTCGTTTTACAATCATAAGCCGCATTATATTTTATTATATGCCTTTTTATTTGAAGATTTATTTATGGATTTCACTATAATTATAAAGGCATATATTGGATCAAAATATCATTTTATTGCTCTATTTTCAAAATTTATTTATTACCAGTTGCAAACAAGACACGCTATATCCGATCTGGATAATTGCGTGTGAAACTATTTACAACAATTCATATTGTAGTAGAGTAGGTAACCAAATTATCAAAAGAAAATAAACAATTAATAAAATGAGCATTGAATAAACATATACATTAAACAAATAAGCATCAACATAAGCAGATAGAAGAAATCGCAAGGTAGTTATTTACAGTATGTTAAGTAATGACAGAAGTTGATGAAGTTATCTGTAATGTATCGTGGAGAGAGAAAGTTGATCAAGTTGAGTTATTTACAATGAGTTATATTCTAAAGTAACTTAATAATTATTTACATTGATGTAAATCAAGTCGCATAGTAGTGTAGTTCCTCAAGCTGCATGAAGCTGTCTATTTATAATAAAAAGTCTGCAGAACCTATTAAATTTCATATATCTTTCCCTATTATAAACTATTTGACTCAGATAGGTTCTTTCCATCTTGCTATGCTGTCTTAGGTTTGACACCAGTGGGCATGAGTTCAGAATGTGTTCGGGGGTTTCTTCTTCTGCTCCACAAGAGCATCTGGGGGAATTTATTTTCAAAATAAATATTTCTTGAAAGTGTCAGAAGGACAGAGTTTCCTGGTGTTCCCTCTTATCTGGACTGGACAGAGAGGTCAGGGAAAACAGTGGCGCCACATAGAAGGTAGAGATAACTCAGCTCTCTCCTCTTGCTCTAACTGCTGGGTAGATTTGGCTTATATACATTGTAACCTTTATTTTATATTTAAAATCTCTCATATACCTAATTAAATAAATATTTAAAGTAATTCGGAAGCCTAGTTAATTATTTTTCCTCGCGACAAAAGAAAAAAAAAAACAGTTGAATTTATAATTAATCTGTAAAACGACATTTGAAAATTATCCCGCTTGTGTTTCTTTTGAACGAATAATCAAAATGTATTCCAAGGAGAAATAACGACTATTTCTATTCTTAGGGATGAGGTATGAAAGGATGAATTGTGAAGAGTAATGATGAACGTAAAAATAAAAGTTTCCAAGGATGGGAATCGAACCCACAGTGTTCCGCTTACCGGGCAGATGCCATGTCCACTAGGCTACCCTGGACATATTTTTGCGTTCGTAAATATTACATAAAGTAATTTATAATATATATATATATAGCCTAGTGGACATGGCATCTGCCCTGTGAGCGGAACACTGTGGGTTCGATTCCCATCCCTGGACACTTTTATTTTTCCGGTCACCATTACTCTTCACAATTTATCCTTTCATACTTCATCCCTAAGGTTAGAAATAACCGTTATTTCTCCTTGGAATAAATTTTTATTATTCGTTCGAAAGAAACACATTCCAGGTTAATATTCGAATGTCGTTTAACAATCACAAGCCGCATTATATTACATTATAATTAATCTGTTGAAAAGCGAATATCACTTAAAATCTTGCGTTTTACAGTAGTAGTGTATGTATAAAAACTCTCATCCCCAAAACCTAAAGGATCATATTATTTCTAAAAAGAAGAGTATCTTTTGAAGCCTGATGTTCTCACCTTACTAAACAATGAAAGTATAAAATCAGCCGATCAACCAAAAACCTCCTGATATTAATATTAGGCATTAGAGCGCCATCTGTTATAAGAATTTTAAACTATTTTTGACGTTTAGGTTTTATATATATATCTTATGATTATTTTTTTTTGTTGTTGAAAAAGAGAATTGAAGGTGCAGTCGTGAAAAAAGAAAGATAGTTATTTACCTTTCAAGTAGTTTTTATTTTGAATTACTTGAAATAAATTACACATGAAATCATTTATCACAGTAATATAGCATTTATAAAATGAATTCTATAATCGTGATTTAAAAAAATAGGTAGGGTTAACTATACATATTTACAACAATATTCAAAAGTGGTATTTGTTCTAAATCTATGGTCGAAAATGTAGAACATTCAATGAATGAAAATAAAATATGTGTTTTTAAAAAAATAAAATATTTGCATTTTATATTATATAATATATATAAAGGTTTTAAACTTTTAATTAGACAATTTTAATTTATATTTAGACATTTTTCATTTTAATTTATAAACTTTCATTTTTTAAAAATAAGGCCTTTCATTTTTATTTAAACGTTTTCAATTTTGATTAAGACATTTTTAATTTTAATTTAGACATATTTAATTTTAATATAGACACATGGACTTTTTATAGAAAAGTGTAAATATTAAAATTCAAAATGTCTTAATAAAATGAAAGTGTCTAAATTAAAATGAAAATTGTCTAAATATAAATTATAATTGTCTAATTAAAAGTTTAAAAACCTATAAATCAATATTGCAGCAAAATATTTATTATTTTATTAACAGAGTATTATTTTTTATATTTATATTTTGATACTCTGTAAACTTCCCTTTTCTTTTATTTATTACTAGCGGACGTACCCGGACCCGGGTTTTACCCGAGTAAAGGTTTGTCTAACGAACATTTGTTAAAACAATTCTCTATAAACTTATAAAAAAAAAAAAAATTTTGATAATTTGAAACTCGTAAATTTGAATCTCTCGATAAAGTGAACATTTTTTCCCGGTCCCTTGAAAAATACTTGATAACTAACTTTGACTTGTGCGCAATTAATAGGTAGAAATCTTACTTTTGATAAATAATCTTTGAGATAATAAACCTAGTGATAATAAAACTTATAGATAAAAAAACTTGTTATCATCGTCGCAATGGGGGCGTTGCTTGCGAGTTAAATCTACAAATCTGCAAATAACTCTTAAGGATATTCAAGATATTCAATAAATTATTTTTCAGAAGTCTTCCCAGTACTATACTAAATAACTTCCCGAAGTTTCATGGCGTTCCAATGAGTGGTTTAGTCAGGCATAAAGGACACACACACACATACATCAATTTATATATATATAGATTCATAGTTTTTTCTTACCTTAAATAAATTGCTGTGTCATCCTGAAGTTTGTTATCTTTCCTGCTGGATCTCTTGCCACTGGAAGTCGCGTTCTACCATAGGGGTTAAGAAAGCATGCTCTAAATGGCCAATTACCCAGGAAAGAAACTCAACTCCTTAAACGATAAGGACTCCTTAAGTTTGTCTTTCTTATTTTTCCACGTGGCAATTTTCTACTTCTCTAACTACAATGATAAAATAATGGGCAATGAAACTCCGCCTTTGCAGAGCTTGGATGAAAAAGGAGGAGTGGGAGCAGTAACAAGCTCACTAAAAAAAACCTGGGTTCAGCTGGCCATGCTGATAGCACCCTGTCAGGACTCCTAATCCAAGGATACAGGATGAGCAGCGTTTGTACTCCATGTTAGGAGCGGCTACACATGGCGTCTGTTCCTCATGTTAGAGGCGGCCATTTCTTTTGGAGCTAAGTCGGCCTGCCACTGTGTAGTGCTCCCAGTCTTAATGACAAAGGAAGACGTATTCTACTTCACCCAGTCGTGGTGGTTGTCAAACAGACACCATCAAGGGTCACAACTTGATATCCTAATATGATTGAGTGGAGATAAGAAAGAAGAAGAATATGGGCAATGAGGGAAATAGAAATTGATTCATTTTAATTCAAAAACGTTATGAATAGTTTAAATTTCTTATATATAACAACAACAATAACAAAAGGCTTTTATTAGGGCCCATAGCCCTGTATGAATTCGCAAAACAGCAGCAAAATAATACAGTAATTTATTTTCTCCCTTTCCCCATGTGCACGTGAGCCTTTGTTTGAAAAGGGATTTATTTACACATCTGTTCTAAAACTTTCCCACTACCTCTTTTGTGTATGAATATATTTACAATTTATCTGTAGAAATTATAGAGTGCTTTTCTTATTTTTCTTTTCTGAAATAGTACTCAGCGTCTTCAGTGGGTTGCTAAATCTCCAGTAGGTGTTTTTAAAAGTTTTTTTTTCTCTTTCTTCACCTAAATATTTGCATTCTATGATAGAGTGGGAGATTTCATCAGATATCATATTTCCACAAATCCTGCAATTAATGTCTTCCTTATATATAAAGCTGATATTATTTATCTATTTACAAGAATGAATGTTCTGAAAAACGAAGCAAATAATACTTTCTAAAGCTTTTTTCCCCAAGAAATCCCGAAATACTTTCGTCCAAATTTTTATAATACTCAATTTGTTACAAACCACGAAAATTTCAAAAGTTTTTTTAAATAGAATAAAGGCAGTGGAGGATTCAAATTGCTTTTGTGGTATTGAGGAGCAAACCTCAAGACATCTACTGATCGATTACCCAGCATTTCAAGATTATAGAATGAAGAATGAACTAGTTGTTTGTGAACTTATTGATTTGATTTCCGATAAAAAATCAAATTTAAAGTTCAATTCATTTTGTAAATACATTCTAAACCTTTTAAAAATCTGTATCTCTAATGTTTTCATGCGTTGAATAATGTAAATAACTTATGTAAATAAACTTTTATCCTTGTTTGGCGCAAGTATCCCTTGCGGGATATAGAGCTTTCGAAATACACCAATACCTCGCTTTGCGTCGTTTCGTTTTGCGTTTTTTTTTTCGAAGTTGCGTCACTGCTTAATTTTTACTGATTTTCACTGTGAGTCGTTAGATTTTCGAAGTTGTGTTATTTTGGATTCGAGTCTTTAATTTTTTTTTTCCTAAAATATGGCAACACCTTTGTTTTTGAATGCGCCTTCAGATATTTTCAGTTTGCGTCGTTTCAATTTGCGTCGTGTTTTTTTGGAAGGTAACCCCGACGCAAAGCGAGGTATGGGTGTAAAATAATAATAAAAAAATAAAAATAATCTATTACCTTATTGAGAAAATTTTGTTTATTTTAGTATTAAATGAACAAATTTGTGTGCAGTGACAGCTATGCCACCAATGAAGGATATATTGGAAAAAGAGAACACCAAGTATCTATTTCAAATAGTGATAAAGATTATTCTACTGTACTTCATGAGTTAGGCCATGTTATTGGGCTTATGCACGAACATAAGCGTTATGATAGAGACAAATATGTTGAAGTAGATTATGACCGGATTCCCGAAGGTAAGAAATTGTTTTTTTTTATTTACTCACCCTCTCTCTTTATATATATATGTCCTCTCATGGAGGTTGTTCTACTGTATTAGTGGTGGAAACTGTCCTTTGTAGAGAGGTGTCTTCTAGCGGGAGTGTCCTCTCATGGAGGTTGTTCTACTGTATTAGTGGTGGAAACTGTCCTTTGTAGAGAGGTGTCTTCTAGCGGGAGTGTCCTCTCATGGAGGTTGTTCTACTGTATTAGTGGTGGAAACTGTCCTTTGTAGAGAGGTGCCCTTTAGCGGGAGTGTCCTCTCATGGAGGTTGTTCTACTGTATTTGTGATGTAGAGTGGTGTCCTCTATACAAAGGACAGTTTTCATTTGCAAAATTATCATTTTTACTATTTAGCAACTCTCCGGTAAGAAGACATCTCTCCTTAAAGGACACTTTGGCTCTGTAACTAGGTGTTGTCATTTACAGGAAGGTAGTTCTACTGTAGCTGCTCTCCCTAAATGACAATTTGGCTCTGTAACTAGGTGTTGTCCTTTATAGCGAGGTAGTTCTACTGTAGCTGCTCTCCCTAAAGGACACTTTGGCTCTGTAACTAGGTGTTGTTCTTTAGAGAGAGGTAGTTCTACTGAAGCTGCTCTCCATAATGGACACTTTGGCTCTGTAACTAGGTGTTGTCCTTTACAGAGAGGTAGTTCTACTGTAGCTGCTCTCCCTAAAAGACACTTTGGCTCTGTAACTATGTGTTGTCCTTTACATAGAGGTAGTTCTGCTGTAGCTGCTCTCCCTAAAGGACACTTTGGCTCTGCAACTAGGTGTTGTCCTTTACAGAGAGGTAGTTCTACTGTAGCTGCTCTTCCTAAAGGACACTTTAGCTCTGTAACTAGGTGTTGTCTTTTACAGGGAGGTAGTTCTACTGTATTAAGTAATTATTTGTTTATTTATCACAGTTGAACACGCAACACAAAATTAAATTGGTATCTAATTCGTTTTTCGGGTATTTAATCTTTGTCCCATTTCCCATTTTAAAAAATAAAAAAGAGAAATATCTATTAAACCCTTTTGGAAAAGTT